CTAAGAAAGATTTTTGTTTACCTTTAATATAATATGCCTAGGAAACTAAAATTCTATGATTTGTCTTTATCAGGTTAGGGTTAGGAAAACTGAGTCTTCTCTACTAAAAGAAAGAAATTTTTTTTTTTACAACTATCTAACTTTCATTATGTGTTAAATTTCATGGGAAATTTGTTAAATAAGAAGTGAGGCTGAACTTTTTTAAGGAAATATGTATATGGAAATCGTTAATATAAATATTCCAAAAAACACAGGCTTTCTTGGTGGTTCAGCAGTAAGAATCCACCTGCAATGCAGGAGACACAGGTTCGATCCCTGAGTTGGGAAAATCCCCTGGAGAAGGAAAAGGCAGCCCACTCCAGTATTCCTGGCTGGGAAATCCCATGGACAGAGGAGCCTGGCAGGCTATGGTCCATGGGGTCACAAAAGAGTCATACCTGAGTTAGCAACTAAACAACAATCAGAAATCATGAAATTCCCAAAAATCTGGTATGCCTTGATACAATGTCATCAGTCATAATACCAATTATTGTCATTTACAGTTATTATTTTTAAATAGTTATTATTTGTTTTACTTTGCAGCTTTTGCAAAAATATTCCTGCAAAAGTGCTTCATCTTCAAAGAGATTCATGGAAGACTCTGACAAGTCCTCTAGAATGAAGGTTTCTGATAAGTTTAGGATCAAAACACTGAATTAGGTAAAAATTTCTGTAACTCTGATGGAAAACTGGTGAAATCATAAAACTGATAACAAAAGATCAAGATCAGCAAGCATTAATCACTGGAGATAAATGAACTGATGAAGGTAATTATAATTTTTATAACTTTATTTAAAACATTGCTCATTCTTTATCATTTCATTTTCTAAATTTAAAGAACCCCTTTTCTTCTCTTTTAAGCTATCTTTAACTTACAGCAATTTGGTAAACAGTTATCTTTTTCTCCCAATCTGGTCCCCCAAGATCGAATTCTGAAACTCCTATTAAACATTCTAATTTTTCATAACAATACACATTTGTGAAAGTTCAATACAAATCTGTTCCAGTAACAGGCCATAACTGGACAATTCCTTGGCTTGTCCTCTTAGCCTAAAGAGATGCTGAAGGTCTAATCTGAGATACCTTATGAAAAGCTTCAGCAAAACAGATTTTAAAAGCTTACATGGTCAGTCACTATTCCAGTTACACTTACATAAATAATCAGGACAAGTTTATTGAAAGTGGACTTGGGTATCTTTGACAGAAACGGAGGTTACTATGGATAGAAAAACTATTCTTCAATAATACACCATTATGTACATTAGATGGGGATACCAGACCACCTGACCTGCCTCTTGAGAAATCTGTATGCAGGTCAGGAACAACAGTTAGAACTGGACATGGAACAACAGACTGGTTCCAAATTGGGAAAGGAGTACATCAAGGCTGTATATTGTCAACCTGCTTCTTTAACTTATATGCAGAGTACATAATGAGAAACGCTGGGCTGGATGAAACACAAGCTGGAATCAAGAATGCCAGAAGAAATATCAATAACCTCAGATATGCAGATGACACCACCCTTATGGCAGAAAGTGAAGAACTAAAGAGCTTCTTAATGAAAGTGAAAGAGGAGAGTGAAAATGTTGGCTTAAAGCTCAACATTCAGAAAACTAAGATCATGGCATCCAGTCCCATCACTTTATGGCAAATAGATGGGGAAACAGTGGAAACAGTGGAAAGAGGGCAGACTTTATTTTGGGGGGCTCCGAAACCACTGTAGATGGTAACTGCAGCCATAAAATTAAAAGATGCTTGCTCCTTGGAAGAAAAGCTATGACCAACCTAGACAGCATATTAAAAAGCAGAGACATTACTTTGTCAACAAAGGTCCGTCTAGTCAAGGCTATGGTTTTTCCAGTGGTCATGTATGGATGTGAGATTTGGACTATAAAGAAAGCTGAGCGCCCAAGAATTGATGCTTTTGAACTGTGGTGTTGGAGAAGACTTTTGAGAGTCCCATGGACTGCAAGGAGATCCAACCAGTCCATCCTAAAGGAGATCAGTCCTGGGTGTTCATCAGAAGGACTGATGTTGAAGCTGAAACTCCAATAACTTGGCCACCTGATGTGAAGAACTGACTCATTGGAAAAGACTCGGATGCTGAGAAAGATTGAAGGTAGGAGGAGAAGGGGACAACAGAGGATGAAATGGTTGGATGGCATCACTGACTCAATGGACATGAGTTTGGGTAAACTCCAGGAGTTGGTGATGGACAGGGAGGCCTGGTGTGCTGCAATCTATGCGGTCTCAAGGAGTTGGACAGGACTGAGTGACTGAACTGAACTGATGTACATTAGATGCTAGTATCATTAATTGTCTTTGAAGTACTGAATCCTGAATTCTGATTTCTTCCTGTATGTAGATAGAACTCTTCAAACTAACAATTCCAATTTTCTTCCATCTTCTGAGTTCACTACAAAACGAATACTGCCCTTTTCCCAAACCTTGCAAGCAAAAGCTGGACAACTTGATACAAACTTCAACAGCTCATGAGAGGACAGTCTTCATGCCTGTTGATATGTGGCCACTCAGAAAGATCACCAGAGACTCACACTGAGAACCAGGAATATCTTATCTGATTGCCACGCCTGTCCTCACTTCCTCTGACAATGCTTTGAACCCAACACCTAGAAATTGTCTCAACTGGCTGCTCCCCAAACTCAGAAACTGAGATTATAATTTGCTTTAACTATTACTCATTGTTTTCTTTTGTTTCCACAGAAATGCCTCTCACTGAATTACCTGATGGCTCAGATCATATAAAGGACTGATTTAGGTGGAAGCACATGTGCAATACTGCCTCCTGAAGTAAAGCCCCCATGTGTCTTTCCTACTGAGGAAGGCTGAGGACATGCACTTGCTAACACACTATATGTGTCTACATAAACAACGTTTAAAGTTTTTGAAGACTGAGTCAGAAAGCTAATACCTGAATCTGATGATAACCCATTTGATTTACTTCATTGATTAAATTTTGGCTCTGGGAAATTTCTCAATCTTGACTGTTGTTCTTTTTATAGTCATCACATTAAACTCTCAATGGTTTTAAATGTCTCAGTCACATGCAGCCACTCACATGCCAAATGCTATCCATCAGAATAAGACAACTGGATGAAATCTACAATAACCGCAAGGATGATGAACATCATGACTACATGGCCCTCCCATCTGTCGATTCAACTAATGAGAAGAGACAGCAATGGTAGAGACAAAGAGTAATGTGACACTGGCTGGTGATCCTCTCAGCCAGCCAAGACAGTGACCAAAAAACTGAGTGCAGCCTGGAAAATTCCCCAAGCAGACAAATCCAGCTTAGTCATACAAACAAAGGCTAATTTAGCTTACTTTGCAGGACTAACTTGACCTGGGTCATTTCTTGTTTTCACCTCTGGAAATCATAAAGAAAACTGCTTCTCAAGCTTGATACAAAGTAAGCACTGAAAATTTTAATACTGTAAACCAATCATTGTTTTGTTTTCCCACAATATAAGCTGCTTTATAACAATATATACCCAACTCTCATTCAGAGTTTTGGTTTGAGCACTCTTGGTTTGCAAACTGTCTTTTTGGTGTGTGCATGATAAATCCTTACTAATTACTGCTTCAATGATTCATTGGTTTCCCTTTAGCTATTTAACAAAATAAAAACCTTTGACAAAATCTTGAACAAGATACTTACCAAGTCCAACAATCTATAAAAGGGAAAGCACATAATGACCAAGAATCATGAAACAATCGAATCATACAAGGATGAAGGAAAATCTGCAAAAATTGCATAGAAGCCCCATAACACAGCAAGTCCACATCCACATCCTCAAGAAATGGGAACCTCTATGCCCCAAAAGACAAGTCTAAGAGGGTTCACAGCAGGATGGTTCATCATAACCCACTGAGAGGCCCTAAAAGATCCATGACAGCACATGCAAAAACAAAGTATGGGATCTGTATTTGACAGCAGACACAGACATGGGATTCTACCTGGGATCACAGTGGGAAGGAGAACCAGGAGGGGAGCTTCTGGTAACGTGTTTGCCTGATGTGGTCACATGGGTGTGTGGGTGAAGACTTCATTATTCACCCAAGGGCTACATGCAGGGTTTGTGTGCTTCTCTGAACATGTGCCAAACTTTACCAGGAAAGGTGTATGTAAAAACTCTATTATTTGGATACAGGTGGAGCATTCCTCACTTTATTGTACTTTGCTTTATGAACTTTGCAGATACTATGTTTTTTTTACAAACTGAAGGTTCATGGCAACCTTGCGTCAAACAAGTCTATCAGTGCCATTCTCCAACAGTATTTGCTCACTTCATGTCTCTGTCACATTTTGGTAATTCTCACAATATTTCAAACTTTCTCATTATTATTATATCAGTTTTGGTGATCTATAATCAGTAATCTTTGATAGTACTATTACAAAAACAATTTGACTCACTGAAGGCTAAGATGATGGTTAATATTTTTTAGCAATGAAATGTTTTTAAATAAGATATGTACATTATTTTCTTAGACATAATGCTATTGAACACTTAAAAGATTACAATATAGCATAAACATAAGTTTCAAATGCCCTGGGAAACCAAAAAACTCATCTGACCCACATTATAGTGACATTTGCAGTGGCTGGAATTGAACCTGTGCTATCTCCTAGGTACACTTCTATGTGTCTTCTTTAAACATTATTAAGAAGATGCAAAGAATAGTTTTTCCGGTATAACTGTGCTACCCTGACCTCCAGTACACACATTTGCTATACTTCAGGGCATACAACTGGATCCAGAAGCATCTGAACCTCTTGCATTTTTAAATGAGTTTCATTCCAGAGCCCCCTTTCTGAGATGGGTCCCCCGCCCTAGCACCCAAGTGAGCAAATGGCTTGCTGTCAATGACATCAAAGTTGTCTGAGTTCTTGGCCCCAAGTTAATGGCACCTATGCTGCATGGCCAAGCATCCCTTACCTGATCTCCCCGGCCCTGTGGTCTGGGAACTGCTTGTGGAAAGTCTTCAGTGCCTGCATCACTGCTGAGGTGCACTCCACATACGTGTAGTCAATCATGATGTCCCCTGGAAAAGGGAAGGGAAGACTGAGGCAATTCCGGCCAAACCATGACGCAGTAGAGCGCCATAACACATGGGGCCTGACCGTCTTGCAGAGGAAAGGAGGAAACGTCCCCAGCGACCAGCCTGGGGACGTGGCCACCAGGTGGGAGGGTGGTACCAGCACCAGTGACCTGGAGGCCCGTCTGTGCCACAGGACGGCCAGGCTGGTGCAAGGGTGAAAGAGCAGGGCGCACAGTGGAGCTGCACCCACCCTAAAAAGGCCTGCCTGGGAGCACGCCTGCCAGTTACAGGAGCCCAACAAATGGAAACCCAGAGGAGGGTACAGGGTACACATGGGCCACACCTGGGAGGACACGGTGAGCGGTCCCACCATCACCTCCCTTCGAGCACTCCTCGAGGGGCACTCAGGAGACAGGCCAGCCCTCATGGAACACAGAGCCAGGAGTGGCCCAGGCGGAGACCCGAGAGCCCCAGTGAGTCCCACCCACCTCCAAGAGGCAGACTGCAGCTTTTCTATCTACCACCAGGGTCACCACACCCTTGGAAGGTGAGCAGCCCAGAAAGTCTGGTGCTTGGGCTCCTCAGAGCATCTGCCCACATCCACCTTCCCCGCCAGCGGTTGGTGGGTACTGCGCACCGCCCCCCACCCCCAAGCAAGAAAAGACCTCCAGGCGCTGGCAGGAGGTCCCGCCTTGGACACGAGAGGCCCCTGAGTCCATGGCCACGTGACAGGTCAACTACTCACCAAAGACCTCGGAGGGGTTCAGAAGCTCCAGAAGGTGTCCCCCCCGCTTGGTCTCATAGGTGGCAAACCCTCCGTCGGGGTTTCTCATGCTCAGCAACTAAAACCAGTGAGAGAAGGTCCTGAGAAGCCGTGCAAGGCAAGGAGCCGAGGAGCAGCCCAGACCTTGGGTGCCCAGAACAGTGGGCACTTTGTCAACCAGGCGCCCTGTGACCACCTGGGATCCCTTCCCAGCACACACACGCTTATCACTTATAAATCACATACGCACCACCAAACGAGCCATCTCCACGTAAAACCTGGATAAGACCTGGATATATTAAGAGGGTCTGTGATTGGGTGGCCAAGACTCTGCGTGCCCAGCACCCTCAGGAATGGGAGTCCCACACCCAGCAGCCTCACCACAGCGACAGCATCGAAAAGCCGCTCTCGTGGGACATGATTGGTAACAAAGGGACACTTTTCCTGCAGGAGGAGGATGGACTTCAAGGCCTCAGCCGTGCAGTCGGCCACAATCCAGCCACAGTCCAGCGTGCTGAAGCTGAAGCCGCCCTGTAAAGTGCGGGGCTGTAAAGGTGGAGGCCATGGCACCTTCCCCGCCCTCGCAGGGCTGATGCCTGACCATCATGGGGAGCCACACACATGCAGACAGGCCCCCAGCTTCCAGGAAGGGCACAAGCAGCTGCTGTGAGAAGGTGGCTGTGGCCGTGTCAATGCCCCACACACTGCAGGAACGACCCATCCAGCCCTGCCCTCCTCCCTCCCGTTCATGTCTGACAGCTTGTTTAAAGTCTGCACGTGCTGCTGAGTGCACGTGTGTATGACGTGGTGCAGTGAAACCCCCGCAGCTCAGCAACTGGGTTTGTGCATGACTCCATGGTCAGGAATATCATGGGTGCACCGGTGGAACCCCACCCTGTGCATCTGTCAGAGCAGAAGCCCCAGAAGGCTGGGAGAGACTTGCCTCCTCACAGGCAAGGTCCAGCTAAACAGGGCCAGTGGTGTGGGGCGTGGTACCTTGGTCATCTGGCGGTAGTACTTCTGGTAGTCGGGGAAATTGTCTGGCACCTAGGCAGCATCCAAGGAGCACAGAGGGGAAGCAGGGGGGGATACATCACTAATGCACCGGACACACATAGACAGGGGCAGGAGGGGCCGGCACAGGGAGAGGTGCTGAGACCCAGAGCTGCTGCCCCCTTGGTCACCAGCACCAGAGGGAAGCCCCCCTGGCAGCAGCCCCTAGCCCACTCCCCCCATCCACAATCGGGCACACCCTGAGCAGGAGATGGCAGAGGGGAGGAGGGGAGCCCCATCTGTGGGAGGCACGTGCCGGGCTTGGCCTTACCTGGGAGATCCGGAGATACTCATGTGCCTTCTGCAGGCAGGACCAAAACTCCGGCCTGTGTTGTGCACCTGCCTGGAAAACAGAAAAGGGGCTGAGATGCTCGGCAGCGTATGTCTGCGTGGTGGCTAGCCCCTGGATGCTACTGGTGACACCCAGTCACCCTTGGGAGCCAGGAGCAAACCCCCCAAGTCAGCAGGACGTGGTGGAGCAATGAAGCAGGCTTCTCCACTGCACCCAGCCCCAGCCCACCACACAGGGTCCCTGCCTGTCTAAGGCAGGCTGCCACATGGCCCACACCTCTTCTTGGGGCTCCCCATCCTGCCAACCTCATTCCCACCAGCTCCTATTTCTCTCCAGCATGTACTCAGATGTATCCATAATGAGCTGTTTGAGCACTCTCAGAGAGGGCCTGGAGCCCACTGCCCCTTCCCAAGGACCCCACCACCTCATCACCTCAGGAACTGCCCCCCAAAGCTCCCTGCCCCTGGAGCCTTCAAGCATCACCATCCCCCCCACCCAGAGTTGCCAGGCAAGAGCCTCAGAGCCCAGCTGAGGGGAGGGTCAGGGCCAGCAGGCACCATGTCCGCCGGATGCAGGGGTGGACACCCAGCAAGGGCAGCTGGAGAACGAGGGACAGAGCCACATACCTCCAGCAAAGCCTGGATGGCGAACGCGGTGTCCCAGATCTGTGAGCCATTGGTACCCTGTGGAGAAAGGATAACATTACAGCTGCCTCTCCTGCACTCCACCCCAACTTCCTGAATCCCACAGGCACCTAGAGGGTCAGAGGGTGCAGGAGCCTCTACCAGATCCTGAAGAGGTGGGAGCCCAGTTGACCCCTGACCCCAGGCTCTGGGCTCTGCACTCTGATACCCACAGGGGCCTGAGTGGGTGATCCAGTAGGAAGACATGGGTCAGGCAACTCCATCTGCCTTTGTCAGAACATTAGCCAGGGCAGGGCTTCCTCAGGGCACTTCCAGGATTTGGATGTCATGGCCTCCACTGCCCACCCAGTGGCACGGAGCCCAGACAGACTGGTGGCTCTCAGGGGCCCCAGACATCATGGCCTTGCCAGACAATGTGTGGGAAGAAAGTACACAACCAAGACAACCCCAGGCCACAAAAACCTGATCTGATCAAGCCCTGAATCAGATCAGGGCACAGAGCAGGCAGAAGGTGGACACCCTAGGGACAAATGCCCCAGGAAAGGACACTGGGAGACTGTAGGACAAAGGTGACATTAAGGACCAGCCTCCTGGGTCAAATCATGATACCAGTGAACCCACAGCACAATCCCACTGCAGGCTGCCATGAGATCCAGGGGACAGCATGGCAGTTCCATCAGAACCAGAAGCTCCAGGGCTGGAGGCTCCCACCCTCCTCAACTTTGAGGGTTTTTTTGGGATACTTCACATAAGACTGACCATGTGGGGCCCAGGCAACTAGAAGAGGAGCTCGAATGCTGGAAGAAGGGCCAGGGAGCTGGAAGAGAGGCTTGAGCACACTTAGCAAGGGCACCTGGGCAGGTGGTCTGTGCTCGGCAGGGCCAGGCTCACATGCACCCATCTCAAAGGGTCCAGCAGTTAGTGTGACCCAAGGACATTGCTGGGGGCACCCTGTTCCACACTGAGGGACAGCAGACCAAAGCCCGAGAGCTCCTGGCTGGCTGCCTCTGGGGCCCCTGCTGCCGGGACAGGACTGGGTCAACCCAGGCCGCCTTGTGATCCACAGCCTCACCCCCAGGGCCATGCATAGGACACAAGTGGGGGAGCATCATCTACAGCATCCAGACACTGGAAACCAGCAAAGAGCACAAACAGCCTGCCCACACGGAGCATGTCTCAGGACGCCGAAGAGGGGCTCAGCTCCAGGAGGCAGGGGAGGGCAGGGGTTCTCCTCTGACTGTCCTGACCCCGCCAGCCTGGGCTCTGTGTGTGAGCTGCAAGATCAGCGTCCAGCAGCAGTCGAAGAACCCCCCATGGCCTTCGTCTCCTCTGAGCTGCAGCTGAGTGACCTCAGTGTACAGACCACTCCCACAGGGTGGCTGCCAGCCCTTGGTTCTCCCATCACCCCAGGGCCCGTCAACATTCCTGCCAGACGGCACCTGCCCAGGAGGGCCCAGCAGCACCCCTCAGACACAGGACCTCAAGCCAACAGGCCATGCAGGGAGGAGAGACTGGGGCTGTGAACAAATCCAAGGCGGGGATGGTGGCAAGGACACAGCTTCGGCCCCGCTGCCCTCACCTGCATCTTCATGCCGTCAAGGCCCAGCCTACAGGGAGGAGGAGAATGATCTGGGTCAGGGGGCACAGGCAGTGCCGGACGTCAGGGGCCCAGAGTCCACATCCAGAGAGTAACCCACCCAAGCAGCGTGGGACACACAAGGACGACTCCCCCAAACCTGGCATGCGGAGGGTCCACGGGGAGAAGAGGCCACCCTGGAACGCAGACTGAGGGACACATAGGCTGTGCCCACCCTCCCCCAGACAGACCAGCACTCGGCTCTTGGCTTTGCCTCCCGCACACTCACCAGAGATAATCGGGAATCCTGGACACGTGCTCCTGGAAGACAGCAGAGGCCGGCCCGTCTGTGTGCCAGCGCACGAGCATGTTGATGGTTTTCGAGATCTGCAGGAGACAGCCTGGTCAGGGCCCTGCCCCACACCCACCAGGTTCCTGGGCTTGAGGGCTGCGGCCCCAGCACAGCCTTGTTCCAGGCCAGGCCACTGCTCCGACCACTTTCCCAAGCACCCTCTGCTTCCAGGCCCCGAGATAAAAAAACCAGGCTGCAGCGAGGGGCCAAGGCAGGTGTGCCCGGAGGGCAGGGGCACTGCAGCAGGGAAAGACAGGGTGACCCACAGAGGGGGCGCAAGCCAGCCAGCGAGTGAGCAGGACTGCCACAAGGTGACAGACAAGGCGGGGGCCCTGCGTGGGCGCCTGGGGTGTGGGGTGTCCTGAGCTGTTCGAGATAACTCGGGACCGAGGGCAGAGCTATCTGCGGGGCGTGGGAGAGACTTGGAAGTGGGACCAGTGAGCCAGGGCCTGTTGCTCAAAGCAGAAGTTCTAGAGGCCCAACCCTTCTACCTTCTACAAATCAAGGTTGAACTTGTTTATGCAGTGCTAAGAGCCCACACAGAATCCCCCAGTGTTGAAAGGGAAACACTTGGCTGTTCACTGGGGCAGTGGTGGTTTACGGCCCCAGGTACCATGTGGCCCAGCAAACACCTGCCAGCAGGGTCAGGGATGTGGCTCACACGGTGGACCCGTGGGCTTACCTAGCATGCAGGTCACAGCCTGCCCCCTGGTTCACACAACTCTGCCTCCCGGACCCGTCGCCCTAAGGCTGCAGGCCATTGACTGACCCTGTGATGGCCGCCTGGGCGCACACGAGAGGCAAAGCCGGATAAGCAGCCCAGAGGCTCAATGAAGCGAGAGCCTCGAGCCAGCAGGCTCATCAGGAGTCAGGAATGGAAACAAGCACCCGGCCCTCCAAAGGAGAAAAAGAAAGGCCAGCGGTGGGTCATCAGGGGTGGGGAAGCGGGGAATGGGAGCAGCATTTGGGGCAGTGTGGGCCAGGCCAAGGGTCCCGGGGGATCGGAGGCCACATCCCAAGGAGGGACCTCACCTGGGGGAGCCCCCACCCCCAGCCCCACAGACCCAGGCCCAGACGCCCAGGGCGAGCGCACTGACCGGGCCGATGCTGATGCACTTGGTGAAGCGGTCGTCGGCCGCGATGTGCTCATGCAGCTTCTGGGTGGCCCGCTGCCGCAGGCTGGTGCTGTGGTGGCGCTCGTACAAGTTGAGGATGGCTGCGGGGCGTGGTAGGGGGGTCGTCAATGGCAGCAGATGGGAGGAGCGCTGGCTCTATCACAGCCGGCAGCCTCGGCCCCCACCCGCCTGCCTGGGCAACTGTGTCCTTGCCCTCCACGCCCCACCCCAGCATCCTGCAGTGAATGAACGGACCTGTGCGGGCGGGGGGACGAGCAGACGGGCGGGGGGCGGGGAGCAGACAGGTGTATGGGCGCAGGGTGGGGGTGGGGGTACGAGCGGAAGGGGCGGGGAGCAGAGGAGTGAAGGGGAACATTCCGCTTGCTCACACAGCACCACGAGGAGGCGCCCGGCTCTGAGCGGCCAGAAGGATCCATGGGAGCCAGGCCTGGACTGGCCTCTGGGGACCGCCCCTTCTGTTCCACAGAGGAGACACCCCCGACCCCTCAAGGCCCTAGGCTCCGAATCCTCTGTCCAGGAGCCCGAGTCCCAGGCAGGTCTGCTGGACATGAGCTGTGCAAGGCCGGCCCCCGTCGTCCCCACAGGACCTCAATACAGGATGGTGAGAAGGGCAGAAGGAGACCCTCTGAGGGGCAGTGTCCCTTCCTATGACTTCAGGTGTCCCCCGACTCCAGGGGCCCAGCCAGCCCGGGGAGGGGGTGCCGGGGGGATACCCACCGTACACGAGGTGGAGCAGCCAGCTGTGCGGCGTGTACAGATCGTCCGGGGCCACGCTGTTCCTGTGTGCGGCCCAATCGATGCAGCTGTAGTCCTCCACGTAGAGCTCCTGCGGGCGTGCGGCGCCTCAGCCCAGACCTGCTGGGCCCTGGGCCCCGGGCCCCTGCCCCCATCCCCGCTCCGCCCCGGGCAGACCCTGAGGAGCACAGCCTCCCCAAGTCCACCCCAGGGCGCTTCGAGGCTCACTTGACCGATAGAGCAGCGTCGCCGCCCGCCCCGCCCCCCGCAGTCATTCAGGGAGGCGGGGCGGGGCTGCACTCTGGGGCACGCGTGCGCGGTCAGCCTCACCTGGCGGAGGCTCTGGACCAGCGGGCCCTCCTCGGCACGCAGCCGGGTGCTGTAGCAGTAGGCCATGGGCAGGTACACCTGCCGACAGTGGCACCAGATCGTGGAGGGATGTGCGGGCATCCAGTCAGGAAACAGCCTGGGGGCAGAGTATGGTAGCGGGCACCCCCCTAACTGTTACGGCCCGTGGACACCCGAGGCAGGGCTGTCTCCAGCCAAGTGGGCACAGCCCTCAGCGCTTCTCGGCCGAGCTCCTGAGGGGCACAGTCCGCAGTAGCCAACAACCCCTCCTGGTTCACCAGTGCCTCCTAACGCCAGGAGACGCGGCCCCTAATGGGTCAGGGAGGCTGTGAGTTCCCAGCTGTGACCAGCATGTCACAGAAACAGAAACCCTTAACCACTGAGATGCTGAGTGAGGGGCTACAGAGACGCTCTGCACTATCTTTGCAGCTTTTCTGGGGATTGAAAACTATTTCAAAATTAAAAGTTCTTACCTAAAAACCTTCAGGACTGCCATGCCTCCTCAAGTCTGACCAACTCTGACCACTGGCCCTGCTGTGCTTTGCCCAGACACCCAGCCTGACGTGGGCACAGCTCTGCAGCCCCCCAGGCGGCTGAGCGCCTGGGCAGTCTCCTCCACCCTCCCCTTTCAGCCTCAGACCACATATGTGGGGGGTCTCTGACAGCTCCCCGCACCAGGGACCTCACCTCCTGGGGGGGTGATACCAGGTGCTTGTATGTATATGGATGTGTTCTGGACACATCCACAGCTTTCATGAGATATTCACAAAATGCTTAAAATCAGCAGCTAATAGGCCTCACACAATACAGAATGAGTGTTGATTTTGCTGAGTTTTTAAACAGCATTATGGTTCTGTTGAAAGGAAAATTCTCATCTTTCAGATATACACACTGAAGTGTTCACAGGGGAAATAGGATGTCTGGGATCAACTTTAACGTTCACTGGCCAACAACTAGAAGGCGGGCGATAAGACAGCATGCACACCCCAACCCTGGCTGGGGAGGGCTGCATGGCCCGCCCCTTCGTTCTCTGTTTCGACAGATGCTCAGGGTGTCTATAACAACACAGTTACAGGCACCTGTGCAGCAAAGCCAGCGCTTCATTCCCTACCCCAGCGGCTCTGTAAGCAGTCAGGCAGGACCCACCCACCTGCTGAGGACCCAACCCCACTGCACCTCCCTCCCTCCCCCCCCCAGCTGGGAACCCCCTTCTCTCCTCTGTCAGCCAAGCACGGGTTCTGCCAGGAGCCTAACACCACCCCACACCACTGAACGGACCGTCCCATATCTGACTAACAGGCAGCAAGTGACCCAGGCAGTGTCACTCCACTTGCTGAGACACTGGTGACCCGGCCACCAAACTAACTGTAGGGGGCACATACCACATTTCTGGAAACAGTGTATTGAGGCCTTCCCAGCTGTACACGTTCAGGACAGCCAACCAGAACTTCCCCCAGGAGGGGATGAACACGGCACCACCTGGAGGGAGAGCGCAGACCCCATCACTGGCCTCTGGCTGAAGAGGACACTCTCAGGAACAGGGCCCCTCAGCCAACAGGCTGCTGAGGGTCCTCTCCTCATGCCAAGCAGGTTCCAGAGCTCTCAGACCACCCACACCATGACCACCAGCTGGAACAGACAGCTTCCCCAGAACAAGCGTGTCTCCCCTGCCCCTAGGAAGACAAAGCAGTGCAGGCGGAGCCCTGAACCAGGAAGAGGCTTCAGGGTGCCAACTGGAAGGTCCTCCGGTGTGTGAGCACAAAGCTGGAAGCACGAACAGCGTGAGGGGCGGGCGGGCGGGCAGGTGGGCAGGTGGGCCAGAGCAGCAGTGCATGATCTCTTAGTGGCAGGAGCTGAAGGGCCTCCCAGGGTGAGGGGAGAACAGCCACCACTAGTAGTTCCGCCAGGCACACAGGCGGGGGGCGAGCAGAACCCACCAGCTCCACCCCGCATGTGCGGCCCGGTTGCCCTCTGGGAAGGCACACTCCCGCAAGCAATGCACCAGTGTGTCCTTTGTGAGTCCATGCCGACTTGTAAAACAGAACTGTGAAACACGGCAACCTTAATTTGTGCTCTGAAATTTTACGGGCAAGGATAGACAGTTTCCTCCTACTCCTGCTTTGATGCCTTCCTTGCATCTGTCTATAATAGTTCCCATTTGCGAGCCCTCCTTACACTGAGGTAACACGACCTCTTTAATGCACAGCGTGTTCTAGGGGGTACCTTTCTTGTGAAGAAGGTTCCGGGCTCGCACCAGGTCAGGATCGTCAGGCCCCACACCCAGAATTCTCAAAGACACATAGTTGAGCGCAGTTCCAAATACCGTGGACTTGTCCTCAATGTGCCTATGGCAGAAGGAGGCAGATGGGAAAATGATGTCTTCTATAACTTAAGAAATTAAGCAATGCTTTCATTAAGTTGCTTCAGCAAATCAAGAATGACGTAACTACACAAGAAACATCCAGAACAGCCATACTCTGGTAAGAGCTCCTGCACCTCTGTGACAACCGAGCAGTTCCAAACTGCTCCCCAGGCCTGCCCGCCTCCTCTGTCCACTTCTCACACCGAATCGACAGGACCAGTGTCGTGTGGCAGTGACTCAGCTAAGACTCTACATCACCGAGGCCCACAGAGTACACTCCAGAGGCAGCCAGCCAGGAGGGAAAGGGTGCTGGCGAGATCCTGTCTGCCCCAGGGCCCACAGGCCATAGAGTTGGGATCCCAAGCTCTGAGACGCCCACAACTCTGTCCAGGAGGTGAGCAGAGCTGAGCTGTCCTCCCAGGATTCTGTAATGAAGGCTGCCGGTATGAAGTCAGCAAGCCCAGGAGGGGCCCATGCCCCAGCTGCAGGATAAGAAGCACCAGGGAAACCTGGACCCGCCTGCATGGAGCCTCCAGCCCAATTCCCTCCTGCCAGGCTCTCTCCCCACCCACTCCCAGCCCACAGCTACAGTAACTCCCTGCCAACAGGTGCATCTCTCACATAAGAACACATGTGCACATGCACACACACACACATGCCATGAACCAGGATCAGGCAGACTCACAGGCCCCAGCCGCCATCGGGGAGCTGCACAGACCGCAGGTACCGTATAATTTCTTCTCGGTATCCGGCCGGCAGAGGGATGTGTGCCACATGGCACGTGATCAGGAGGCCTGTGGGGCAGAACAGATATTCCTTGGCAGGAACTCAGCACTTCTAAGCCCAGGTCTGAGACCCTGGGAACCCCACACAACAGGGAGCTCTCTGCTCAGCCCGTTCTTGTGCAAACAAGCCTGGGAAGGCTATTCCTCCCCACCCCATCAAGGACTTCAGAACTGAGGCCCCAGGAGCAGTGGCAACAGCACACGTGACACACACTGTGTGGGGCATGCAGAACCTACCAGGCCCTCCAGGGTGCCATGCTATTGACAGGCCAACTGGGAAAGAAACCCCAAATGGATCATCCCTGGATGGGGTAATATTTACTTGCTTATATTTACATATTACTGTTTTGTTAAATGTTTTAATTGCACATGTCACTTTGAGAGATGGACAACAATAAATAATACCCACAAAGAACCTTCTGTTCCCAGCCTGACCCTCCTGAGCATGGTGTTCAAAGCCTCCCCACCTCCTCCCCCTCCAATCTACCCTTGGCCTCGACCTCATCAGCCACATGCCGATGGCACTGAGCACATGGGGTCTCAGACAGGCCTCAGCAACGTGTTGTGGAATGGATCCCTGACTCTGGCCAGAGGCACGAGAAGCCCCAGCAGACATAGCCACACAGATACCACAGAGGTTCATAGGAAAAAGTCCATCTCCTTTTGTAACAGGTATGACGCTCTTAAGATAGTGAAACACACAAGCAGGAAGCAGTGCCTGTGGCTTCCCCATTTTACAGTCAAGGAAACTGAGGCACAGCCCCTAAGTGGTGGGGCTGGGGCTGAAGCCCAGGAGGTCTAACCCCAGAGTCAGTGATCACCATGGTGATGCTCAGTGCAACACTGGCCACACAGAGTCATGACCTCCAGGAGGGTTCTCCAAACTAAAGCAGAAAAAGACCAAATTTCAGCCAGCCATGGAAGAGCCCTGAGACAGCACCCCAAAACAGGCCAGTGTTAACCTGTGAAAGATGGTCTGTCCAGAGTCCAGAGGGAGAGAGGAAAGCCCCACCCTACAGCCTGCAGAGGGCCGGGGGTGGTGGGGGTGGGGAGAGGGGGTCAGCAGGCCGAGCCCAGAGCTGCAGCAGCAAGCACAAACCAAGACAGCATCCCCATGACCTGTCACCTACTGAGTGCCTGGTGCTATGCACACATGACCAAACCCAGTTCCCATTGTCCCCACGTCACAGATGAGTCAGCCAAGGCATGGTGCAGTCCTGCCACCTTGCCCAGGGTCAGAGCAAGCCAGTGCGGTCCACTGCCTCCCTACAAAGACCCCTGGGAAAAGTCTCAACAGGCTCCAGGTGGGACCAAAGGAAGAAAGCCCAATGACTTGCCCTCAAGGACAGTCCCATGGGTCCCTGGACAGGAATACAAAGCTGAACAGTCCAGGAGACAGCAGGGCTTGGAGTCAAAGCAGAGACAGGAGCCTGATGGACTCTTAGAAATTCACAAAAGGAATTTCTCACATTGTTTTAGAGAAATGTTCCCAGGATGCAACAGTCTGATATAGCCAAACCAGTTGAGTACCCAGGAGATGCAACTGCAGTTCTCCTACAGCTCACCAACCTCCATCTACAGCTCCCGGCTAAGCTCTCTTGGCAAAGCCTTTCAGTGAGTTCACATGTGCAAGAACTGCCTACACAGGACTTAAAGATCCCCACCCACCACCCTGCTCACCTCTGTACCTTTCCACAGGCCAGGCCCTCCAGGGATGCCCCTGCCCTGCATTGGGACTCCAGAGCCTCCCTGCTTGGAGGTACCTCCCAAAATACCCTTGCTTCCTTTTTCAGAACACTAGCTAGCTGAGCCTTTGCTCCTATCCCCCAGCAACAACACCAGGACAACTCAGGCACAAGGCAACCCTCCCCAGACCTTTTCTATGTAAGCTCCTGGTTTTTCACCTGTTCATTCACTCACACCACAGATGTTCAATGAAGGCCTGAACCAGAATCAAGCCAGGATCTCAAGGATGCCTTACCCACAAGCCACAACATCACCTTCCTACCTGGCAGGAGGAAGAGCGGGCCACCGTAATCACCCGCCCAATGCCCATCCTCAGTCTGCAGTGCAGCGTAAAATGTCACCCCATTCAGAGCCCCCTTGAGGGCTGTGTGCGCTTTTGGCAAGTCCTTAAAGAAACTCTTCTGCAAAGAAGAAAAAAAGAGATGAGAGCTGAGGGGTCTGCAGCTAGGCGAGAGGAGCCCTCGGCATTTAGACACGAAGCCAAAGTAACAAACCTGAATTACTTTGAAAGTTACAGCTGTTTCAAAGCCTAAAATTCTGATGATGGTATTGCCAATCTCCCTCACGGTTCTATGTTCCAGTCACATATTTTCAAATTTATTCACAACTTCTCCAAGACATCTTAAATAAACCAGGTGCCCAAGAGTGTGGGGTGGGGCACTGATGCCCATTCAGACCTAGAACTCAGGCCTCTCTCGGGCAGGGGCCACGGGATAGCACAGTGACAGAGAGACCTCATTTATATGTCATACTCTCTAATTGAATTTCTCGTGAAATTCGCTGGATCAAAAACTTCTTTTTATTAATAAAAACAAAGTTAGAGCTGTTTTTTACACACAGCTTAGTGATAAAGGGATTGAAGCAAAGGGGCTTCATGTTCTGTGTTTACCCAGTTAACTCCTGTAGGAACCAGATTTGGTGACATGGGACACAAATACACATTACACATCCCTTCTTTTTAAGAAATTAAAAAATACCCTTTACATCTAGCTGTTTAAAGCTCCCTGCTGGTTCCTGGTGCTCCTTACTAAGAAGGGAGGGACGCAAGTTTCTGATGGTGTCCCAGACGCTGCATGGGACTAGCAGAATCAACACTTACTGTATCCAGTCCCAAGAGGTGAGCTTCCAGGCCAGACTGCTCTCGGCCAGGATCTTCTTCTTGAAAGTAGGTCCATGTCTGCCTCCCAACCTTATTGCTGAGTCGCCAGCGACTGAGGTCTGTGGCCGGCTCTGTCTTATAGGGTCCCCCTCTTCGACGCAGACACCTAGAAAAGATCATGTTCAAGTGACCTGCTCTGACCCAGTCAGGGGCCAGAGGCCCAATGAATTCACTGTTTCACCCCCAACAACCTACCAGCAGACTGTTGTAAAATAAAAACCCTCCAGAGGCGCTTCTGCACCTACACATCGCGCCTTTATTTCTCCGGGAGAGGAGACACCTGCCACCGGACCGCCGCCCACGGCCTCGCCCCCACCCCGACCCCCGGCTCCACCCGGCTCACCCCGGCCCGGCCCCAGAAGGCCCTCGGGCGACGCCGCCGAAGGAAAGCTTGCCCCTCACCGCCCCTCAAGGCTGGTGCCGCAGGTCTCCACAGACGGCGGGCTGGACCGGACGGTGCAGCAGCCTCCCTGGAAGCCCTCGACCCGATGAGACCCCCCTCCTCTGGGCCCCCGACCACGCTCTCCCTTCTCGCGGAACGCGGGGACTCACGTGCCCTCCGTCATGACCGCTGCCGCGATCCTGATTCCCGGCAACGTGCGCCCAGTACCTGGCGTAGCCGGCGAAGTCTTTCGCCTGGGCCGACTGGCGTGCGCGGTGGCCAGATGCCCACGCAGCCAATCAGAGCACAGGGAGGGTGGGCCTGGGGCATGCCTGGATACCTCAGTGGCGGAGTGCGAACCTCGGCGCAGTGGGGGCGGAGCCGAAGTTCAGGGACAGAGGTTGATCTGGGGGCGGGACGAGGAAGTGAATGGGCGGGGATGCGTCGGCGGGCGGGGGCGCGTCGGTGGGCGGGGCTTGGCGAACGGGCGAGTCCCGGAGGGACGCGGCTGACTGTCACGCCTGCAGCCAGATTCTGTCAGCCTCGGAGCTACTTGTGGAGCAAGGCGACAGGACGAGGCCATCAAGGGGCGCCTAAGACTGACCCTTGAGGAGGGTCCCACCCGAGACCAGAAAGCAGGGGGCTTGGAGAACGGCGAGTGCCTTTGAGGCAGGGCACGAGGCTGTAGTGAGTGAGTGAGGGGAGACGTGGCCGCGAGGTCCCGCGGGGGTGCTGGGGAGGCTTCCGAGGGAGAAAGGTTGCTGAAGAGCTGCTCTCCTCAGAGGAAATGACAGGAGAGAGATTGATGGTAGGGCGGCTGACAGGAGGGGAGATGACACTTGAAGGGAGATGACACCAGAGAGACTGACAGGAGCAGAGACGACAGGAGGGGAAAAGGACATGAGAGGGGAGACGACAGGAGAGGGGAGATAGCAGGAGAGGGGAGACAACAGGAGAGAGAAAAGAACATGAGAAGGAGACAACAGGAAGGGACAGATGACAGGCTGGTGCTGTCCACAAGGGGCGGTGCATCTTTCAGGATGCTTTGCTGTGGGGCTTTCAAGGTACAGGTGCCAAGCACTTATTTGCCCAGGGAGGAAGCCACATTGAAAGAGCTTGGGTCACTCAGGGGGGAGCCTAAAAGTTTTGGAGTTCCAGTTTAAGTAAATGTGGAAGGCCTGGACTGTAAAAGGAAGGGAGAGAAAAATGGAAAACATGCCGAAAGGACTGGGAATGGGATGGGTGGCAGTAAAGTGGTCTCAAGGTATGCAGCAGGAGCCAGGGGCTCCATTGAGTTGGAGGAAATTGTGCAGACATTGAGGTCCCAAATGAGACTCTTCAGGAACTCATGGACAGCCCCACCGCTTCTTATTCTTCCCTACAGAAGCTCTGGCCATCATGTCACAGCTTCTCCAGTCAGGTGAGTTTTTCTGTACCCATCCCTTGAGTCCTGTCCCCAGGCCATGAATCTCAGCAAGTCAGAGGAGAAGGGCAGGGGGGGACTTGCAAACGAAAACACATGTACATTTCCCCTAATGGAATATCAGGCTATTCAGTTCAGTTCAGCTGCTCAGTCATGTCCGACTCTTTGCAACCCCATGAATTGCAGTATGCCAGGCCTCCCTGTCCATCACCAACTCCCGGAGTTTACTCAAACTCATGCCCATCAGGTCGGTGATGCCATCCAGCCATCTCATCCTCTGTTGTCCCCTTCTCCTCCTGCCCCCAATCCCTCCCAGCATCAGGGTCTTTTCCATGAGTCAACTCTTCGCATGAGATGGCCAAAGTATTGGAGTTTCAGCTTCAGCATCATTCCTTCCAATGAACACCCAGGACTGATCCCCTTTAGGATATTAGACAGTCAGTAAAGGACACTTGCCTCTTCCTATCCCAGTTCAGAAACCAATGAAGAAGACATAGCAATAAGAGGAATCGATATCAAATTACCAGCCTTGCCACACAGAAAAAACTATAGTTTGAAAGACATGGCTTCGATTGACAAGATGGCCAGCTACTTCCACCTCTAAATCATACACATGTACCTCTCAGCCTCTGGCCCAGGGGGACAACTGTAGCCTTCACAGAGCTGCCCCACGAAGCACCATGGAGCCAAGTGCCTATGAAAAGATGCCTATTAGCCTATTGATCCCAGAAAGTGTACCAGAAGAGCCTGAAATTCTGTTCTGTTCCCCCAAATTCACTAATTCACACTTCCTGGGAGTAGGGAAAAAGCTGGAAGTTTTTCTCCAGGGATGTGCCTCCATGTGGAAACACAAAGCATGGGAATAAGGACTCCAGCCTATGTGGACATCTCGAACTCACTTCAGTTGGTGTGGAGTTTGAGTGTTGGTATTTTACTGGACTGGATTTTTATGAGCAATACATAATCCTTTTTAAAAAATTTCTAAGATAGAAAGGAAAAACCTATAAAATCTATCTGAGAATTACAGATAAGAGTTTCCAGGGATAGTCACGAGAAAACATAATGCTTCTCTCTACTTGCACCCTACCAATTCCATCTTGTTTAATAAATAGGACACAGAAGACTGAGGGTTTTGGTTGGACAACTGGGCATATAGTAGTGTCACTTCTAAAGTAGAGAAGGCTTAGGGAAAACTTTCAACTTAGATTAGGGACATGTTAAGAAAGAGATGCCCATTAGACATTCAAAGTAGACAGGTTGAATAGGCTGGTGTTCAAGAGAGAGGACAAGACTAGAGAGAGGAGTTTGGGAGTGGTCTGTTTTCAGTTGATATTTTGGAAACATAAGACTGGATGAAATCAACTAGGGCATAAATATTTCAGAGAAGAAATTTTCAGAATCAGTCCGAGGGCAGCAACAATTTCCAATCTAGAGGAGGACGAATGGCCAAAGAGAGGAGAAAAACCAGGGAAATGTGGAGTCAGGGAAGCCAGAAGATATGGTGATCTGTGCAAAGATTTTAAAGGGATTGTAAAATGAGCTCTGAGAATAGGTGACTAGATGCAGCAAGACAATTTACTGGTGACTGACAGAGCAATCTCAGATGTGAGAAGAAAAGCCCAGTGGCAATTAAAAAGAGGTGGGGGTGGGGGGTGGGGATTTCCAGTTAAACATATCAGACTGAGCACAGGCACTGACTACCATTTCCTACTTAAACCCTACTTACATAAAGTAATAAGAGATGAAAATGCATAGTAAAAGCATTGGAGAGGAAGCACCAATAAACAAGAGAGGTCAACAAAATCAGAGAGGCCGGGAAAATAAGAAGGGGTAATAACTGACTTGGGCTTCCCTGGTGGCTCAGACAGTAAAGAATCTGGCTACAATGCAGGAGACCTGGGTTCGATCCCTGGGTTAGGAATTTCCCCTGGAAAAGGGAATAGCTACCCACTCCAGTATTCTTGCCTAGAGAATCCCATGGACTGAAGAGCCTAGCAGGTTACATGGGGGTCACAAAGAGTGGAACACAACTAAGTAACTACCAGTTTCACTTTCAATAACTGACCTAGCAAGGAAGAGAAAGCTGAAACCCATGTGTGGAGGTAAAGTCTTTCAGAAAAAAAAACCATTTTTGCCAATGAACTGGAGGTGCAGAAATTAGAACTGGTGGGAAGTTTGAATAAGAAGCAATGTGACAATAGATCCTTTCTCCTACCTGGGTGGAAGCCTGCTGCAGTTGAGTCAGAGCAGGTGTGAACTCAGGCACAAGCATAGCTGAGGGTCACTGAAAGCAGGGTGTTGAACGAAAGTCTCCACTCATATGAGAGTGCCACTTTTCCCACTAGCCATATAGCTTCAGGCAGTAGGAGGATTTCTCTGAAACAAATGGTGCTCCCACAAAAGACCTGCAAACATTGACAACTGGGATCCAGTGGAAAAGCAGAGAAGCCTATCAGTTGGCATAGAGCTTCCAGCAAGATCCTCAAAGGTCCATCAACGAGCCAGTCATTCAAGGAAGACCTCTATCATGAAAGGCAACAAAACACACAGAAAAAGGAAATTTTGAGAAGTGGAGATAATCAAAAGTTGTGGAAGAAGACTTTGACAAAAACATGTCCTCACAGAGATAGGATGTTGCACCCATGAAACAAGAATCATCTGTTGGACTTCCCTGGTGGTACAGTAAATAAGAATCCGCCTGTCAATGCATGGGATGTGGGGTCAATCCCTGGTCTGGGAAGATTCCACCAGTCACGGAGCAACTAATCCTGTGCACCACAACTACTGAGTTGGTGTGCCCTAAAGCCTATGCTCTGCAACAAGGGAAACCACTGCAACATGAAGCTCATGCACTGCAATGAAGAGTAGCCCCCTGCTCACCTCAACTAGTGCAGTCAAAAATAAATGAATAAATTACAAAAAAATAACCATCTGACATATTCTAACCCTCCCTGCCTTATTTTTCTGTGCTTATCATCAATTAGCATTCCAAATGTTTTGAACATTTATCTTGTTTATTGCCTATCTCCCTACTAAAATATAAGCCCTCTGTGAGGGCTGAAATTTGTTTCATTTGTTGCTATATCTCCAGCACCTGGAGTAATGCCTGGCATATGGTAAATACTCCAAAATTATATACTAAATAAATGAGTGGATGAGCATGAGTCTCTAATAAGAAACATTAAGAAAAAAAATTCCATGGCTGATTCATGTCAATGTATGGCAAAAACCACTACAATATTATAAGTAATTAGCCTCCAACTAATAAAAATAAATGAAAAAAAAATTAAAAAATTCTCAGAAATTAAAAATATG